GGTTCATTAGTCGTTCAGCTACCTAGCTAATCCTGCATCCAATATCTCAAAGTCTGCAATAATCAGATGCTGTCGTGGCAAGCCTGAACCACTGGACAAACAGCAGATTAGGGGTGCATGACAAATGCATCATACCACATAACTCTGCAAGGAAAATGGGAGATGGAGGCGTGAGGAAATATGGGATGATTCGGGTCACAAGATAAACCTGTACCTTAAAAGAGGAAAATATTGCAAGGAGGAAGAAGAATAGGAATGTGGGCAAAAGGGTAGGGAAACTATAATGTGGGTAATGTGCATGTGGTTAGGAAAGATGCAGAAGGCTGAGATAAAAGCAAAAGGGGCAGACATACCATGGAGGAGAAGGACAAGAGAACGTGCAAAAATAGCTCCAGTAAAATTGTGGGGTTTTTAACACATATCACCATAGCAGGACCAAATCAATGCACTGCGAAAGGAAGAGAATGTGCAACTGTTCAAACCGCTCTGTGTGTTCTTAATCTGACAGATGACAGCTCTTCCTTTCTTCCTCTGCCCACAACACAGAATTGTTCCCCAGTTCTCCCCACCCTTCATCCATCCACCTGTACTGGGGTGCATCAAGATTTGTAAGCAAGCTGGCAGGTCAAGCGTCTCCCAGGATGAAAGTACACAGAAAACCATGAAGGGAAATGTGCTGCAGCTATCAGTTTGGGGACAAATCTAGCCACTTTCATTGTTTCCTCTCTTGGTCCCTGGGGTGTTTAAGCAACATCTTTTCATTCCCAAGCACTGATTAGTGCTTATAACATGCCATGAGAAACATAGACAATAAGTATTGCCTCCATTTTACAGGGAAGAAAATTAAGACTAATAGATTGAACAATTTAGCTACACAACAGGGAAGGTTAATTCCCAAAGCAGGGATTTAGACAAAATGAGTTCTTCATACTGTTCCCTGACCATAGAAATTGATAATATTGCTGTTCCTACCTGAGCCCCCCAAAGCAAGACAGACAGCTGCTATCAGACTTCAGGGCTGTTCCTGTTCTTTGTTCATTTTACACCACATGGTTACTCAGAATTAATTACTGACATACCTGAGATCTGTACAACTCTCACTAGACCAATAATCTTTTTTTCCGTGAAAAGCAGGCTTGAACTGTAAAAACTACCAGGTGTATTTAAAATGAATAGACAAGAAAGAAAGAAACAAAAGAGCAGCAGACCTGAAGGATGGTAGCAAATATGAGGAAAGAAGCAAGTACCATATTGAAATCCAATGAGAAAGGTGAAATGCATAAAAAGAATGTAAGAGAAACCACACAAGGAAGTGCAAGGCTGTGAGCTACAGAGAAATCCAAACAAATACAGATTGCAGCACATGTACACCTAGCTCCAGGTCAGTGAGACAGCAGGATTCCACACACCCTGAGCTCCCCTCAGAGCTGCTTACCCCACTGGTTTCAAAGTCTAGCAACTGCAGCTAGCAGGTAATGACGTCTGCAAAGCACATAGCAGCAAAAGTGCTCACCACCTCCACACCAATTCAGCCTAACGAACAACTGCTGCACCAAGGGAGGTGTGGAGAAAAGTCAGACTAGCAAGAAGCATGTAATTACAGCTAAACTGCAACCATCTTCTGGATTTGACTGTCTGTGGGGTTCTGACCAAGCTGAGGTTACCTGGCATCTCCACAAGATTTTCCTACAATTGCTCACTGGTTGTCATGTACCTTCCTTACTCAACAAGAAGTGTGGGGAAAATAGAATTGATTTGCTTACAAATATGAGAGGAGGCTGCATTCAGAGCATGGGATAATATAGTCCCTGCACAAGCCAACCTCACTGACTTGTAAGTGCTCATTTTTTGGCTCTGCAATCTGTGGCAACCTTCTAAATTCTGTTGCAAGAAATGGGCTAACAGTGTCCCAAACCCACCTCACACTTCCTGGCATGAAGGGCCTTCACACGACACCTCCAAAATAGTAGCAAAGGTACAACCAAAAGCTTTTGATTAAATCGGGTATTCAATAAACATTCCACTCATCTGTGCAAGAAAACTAAGCAACAGAATAGTGTGCAGTGTGGAAGAAGGCATTATATTTTTGGGGGATCTGTTTGGGGCTTATTGTTTTAAAGAATCAGTGACTGGAAGGGAGCAGGTTGCTGAAAACAGCCAAATTTTTGTGCAGGAATTCAGGGCCAGCCAAGAGATGCCATGGTTGAATTAAACCATCATTTTTCAGGTTGCCCTTCTTTTTTGCTCATTATTTTTGACTGCTCATTATTTTGTCTGGCAGTTACTGTAGTGGCAAAACATTCTCTCTAAACCTAAGAAAAAAAATAATTAAAAATAAAAAGGAATGGCACATGCAACAATGATTCAGCAGAGGTTAAATATCCTGTGCTGGCTAAACCTAAGATCATTATGGTAGAAAGATAAATGGTACTCATGCAGCTTCTGGGAGATTTTTCTGCCTCTTATTTAGATGATATGCATATGATCACAGGCTGGTAACTGCCCATGAAACACATGCTGGTGAAGACTGATATCTATCATTTTCTCTGAAAGGAGAAAAATTCACCTATTAATTTTATAAATATAACCAGGAAGCACCTTGTGCACTTAAAAGAGATCAGCAGCAACCTCTGCACCTCAGAGGTTGATTCTGGGTGATGTTTCAGACACATAAAGTCCAGTAAAGTTGATCCCAACCTAAAGAACACAAGATCATTTACTCCTTGAACAATAGACAGGGAGATTGAAACAGAAGCCCTGCCTCATTTTGAAAATGGTTTGGATGGCTGTAAATAAACAGCAGATGCTACAGCAGCCTTAAAATTTAGGATATACACTGACCCGAATCCACACTTAGGACAAATAAATTATTATTAGAATTATTTTTAGGAGCTCCATAAATAACTACTTATCCAAAGGTCTCCTACTTTTTTCATCCCATTCTACCCCTTTTTTGACACATAATGACGCTATTGCTTTTTTGAACTGTGTAAGAGGAAAGTCCATTGCAGATGGATTGTAGACACTCATTTTGTAAGAAATTAACTCAATTTGGAGCCATCAGCTTAGCTAAATCAAAGTAGAAGCAATATATAAAGGCAATGTCACACCTGGGTAGATTTAAAAAAAAATATTTAAGAATCTATGGGGCTTTAGGAATCTGCGGGGCTGGATCATTCTTATAAAGGACTTTAACAAGGGCAGGGCTTTGCTCAGAAATAATTGCCACTCTCTCAATAAACACCTGAAAATTTGTGGATAGAAGCCACAGGTGCAAATAGCCAAACAGACAGCTACCAACTGGCCACTAACTAATTGGTATAAATTATCATCTGGTCAGAGAACAAATCATAGAAAAAAATGTGCAAAATTAATCGCTTGCATGTTACAGTTGCTCTGTGATGGTGTAGCCACCCAGATACCTCACCTATACTAGGGGTGCTAAGTGCCTGGGGAAAGTGCTCTGGTGTTGACTGAGCATTCCAAAAGGTTTTCACTGGAAAGCCAGTTTTGCAGAGCATTTATTTTCACAAGAAATGTAGAGACACTTTGGGCCAACCTGCTTAAAAATGCTCAGATACTCTGGAATTGGCAAAAATTTCCACAATTTGTTCCCTCAGCAGCAGCTTCGGCCTTTGGGATGCATTAACATTTCAGATTACCCCCATTACTTTAAAATGCCCTCCTGTGAATTAACACACTGAGATCGGAATCACTCTACTGACATTTCACATGTGTTTTCCTAATGCAGCCACAGTCACAACTCCAGCATTCAAGTCTTTGTCAGTTTGAAAAGAAAATAGAAAAAAGTGAAAATAAAAATCCCTGAGCAGCTTCACACCGGTCTTCTTCAAAACCCAGAAACGTTTGAGGTGTCTTCCCAANAAAAAAAAAAAAAAAAAAAAAAAAAAAAAAAAAAGGATCTACTTGCAATAAACATTCAGTGAAAAAAAAAAAAAAAAAAAAAAAAAAAAAAAAAAAGAAAGAGAACTCCATGTAGCTGAGATGAAACAAATGTATCCTGTGAAGCAGGAAGAAAAGGGGAGGGGGGCAGCAGAGAGGGTAGCAGACAACTCTGACTTGCTTGCTCTTTCCAGGCTTTGTATTTATTTCTGTCATGGATCTGAAAAGGCAGGCAGCAGACTTTGTAGAAGTGCCTTATGAAATGAGGTAAATAATGGACCCCAGATGCCCTTGTTTCTTTCATTATTCAGACTAGGCCTTCAAAGCTGTTTTGCAGTGTGAGGTATCAGGGGGAGGTAGAGTGCTCTGTTAACAAGATTTCAATGAGCTTTGGAAGCAGGTCCAGGGAAGCTGCTGGAAATGTTTCAGACATACAGTACTTTTGTGCTTTTCTGACCCGTATGCAGTGAGAAAACACAGGACATAGGGTGCCCTGATTTTTAAGAAAACACCGTCTAAACAATATGTAAACAACAGCAATGCTTTTGTGCGCATGTGATCCCTTCAATTCAGCATTCTCAAAGCATTTAAAATATATTGATGCATTAAGTTCAAGAACATGGCTTCAAACTCAAACAGTTTAGAATATGTATTAAAAAAAAAAAATAAAATAAAGAAGAAGAAGAAAAAAAGCAGCACAGTTAAGTAATTGTCCAGCCAGGGCCATGAAAGCAGGGATTTGAACTCCTAATTTCCCTGGTCCTTCCCCATAAGGCAAGATTTCCTGCCCACTTAGCAACAAACTGCATTTTGCCTTTGCTTTGAGACCCACCCTAAACATTTCTCTGCGCATATTTCTGAGATTCTTCATGATTCATCCTCAACCAGGAGCCACGTGAACCCAACTGACACATCCAAACCCTTCCATTTTTTTGGATGGCTTTAGCATCTCCTGGCAGTTTAGATTTAAACTCCACGGTCCATATCCATTCCTAATAATTGTCCTTTCCCTGCACTTTCTCGCTTTTGGTGACTGACATTTAAAAGCAAAAAAAAAAAAAAAAAAAAAAAAAAAAAAAGAGGACGTTTCAAGTTACCATTCCTTCAGCTCTTGCTCTCCTCATTGTTGACAGCAGCCGTTCTATATTTACTCTAGCAGCATTACATCCTGTGCGTGGGGATGGCTCTGCACTCCCAGATATTTCCGAGTCATTCCGGGTAGGAGGATTCATTGGGAGCCGCATCCTTTCCTCCCCGGCATCCTGCATCATCTTAAAAAAAACACAATGGCACCACCTAAAGGACACATCATGCGACAGGGAGCCTCGGCCAATGCATTTCCCTCTCCGTGTGTGCTCCAGCAGCAGTCCTGACAACGCTGAGCCCTGTGGTGGCAATATTCATTTATTTCTCAGGAGCTAGCGTGGCATGGAGCTTATTCGCGATTATAAAATCATACACACAGGAAGAGACGTCCATATTTTTATAGCTCCTCTGATAAGGCTGTAACAGAAAAGACAACTGTTAAAGCAGCTGCCCCTTTTCTGTGCAATCAACACGAATGTAGCAGGCATGCCTAACATAAAAATTTGAGCAGTTTTAGGGAAGATTAAATATAGGAAGGGAGTCTCTTGCCAGCAGAATGGTAAGTGATACTGGTCCATACAAATCTCTAATTAAAAAATATGTGTCAGAATACAAGAAATCACAAGGAAGAAGGGATAGGAGGTCCTTTCATTCCATTGTATCTAGCTAATACAGCAGCATGTATATTGCTATATGTCTTCTCGTATGTTAAGCAATGGTCCTAATATCCCAGAAGAACAGGGGAGTTTTTAAGAACAAGTTGAACTTGTTCTCCTTTCTCAGCATCAGTCATAGCTTTCATAGTTCACTCTCTTATATAATTTTTGTGAAAGCACTTCATGCTTTCACAACTAAGGACAGGCTAGGTTCTTCCAAACAAATATATGAGGGTTTGATCATTTGGAATGTACATTTTTCTGAGGCAAAACCAAACTATTTCAAAGTTAATACAGGTGACAGCCTATTTGTGGTTTCAGTTCTATATTGCTCCATTTACATCAGCAAAACTGGAGAGAAAAAAATATCTGGTCCTTTAAAACTACATTTGTATATAAACATAACAGAGACCAAGTTATGAATGGCAACTAGTTTTCAAATACTTATTACAGTGAACATACAACATTGCTCTTTTCTGTGCTTTGGTTTTAAAAAGGGACTAAGACAAAGACTAAGACACAATCAACTGACAAAGCCAGAAGTTACTCTGACGGGCATCAACCAGTTCCAAATGTTGTCAATGGGCTCTGGAGATTTTCACTCAATCTGAAGAATCTACTACAAAATACATGCACAAAGCCTTTTAATTGTTTCAATTTGGTTACTAGTTGGCAATATTGTTTCAGAAAAACTGCTTCTTGATAGCTGAGGAGGGAAACCAAAGACTGATTGGGAATAAAGAACAAACTACTTCCTACCCCCCAGGTCAGCATTGGGTGGGGAATGGCAGGCTGTAATTGCCTGTGCAGTTCATAAATAAGAGACTTTGGTCTCCCAGAGAGCAAAATGAGGAGGAAATACCTTTCAAGGCTTGTTTTTTAAGCATTGTTTCCAGAATAAAGCAAAAGCACAGCCTTTGAAAATATTTAATATGCCAGTTGCCCAAGAAGGATGTGCCAGCCTTAAACATAGCTGTCAGGGCCTGGATACTCAACAGAACTCAACTGCCCACATGCATTTCCAAATCAAATGACTGGATTTCCTGAAGCACTAGGCCTCCAGCAGAAGTTTTAATTATTTTGGCATTTCCTTTAGGAGCTGAATTGGAAGTTGACAACAACTGCTGAGTGCTCAGCTCCTTGAAAAACCTGGCCTGGAGATTAATAGCTATGCAGTGCTGAGCATACCAGTTGCCTTTTACTCCGTGTATCTCATAATTTACAGTATTAATTGCTTGAGTCTAATAAACACTTTTGGGAATCCGACCATGAGTTTTCCCACTTCATAGGTGAAACAAATGCAAAAGTACCTGTTTTAACAATAAATCTAGGGTAAAAGCTTCCACATTCAGCCTCCTGTATTTGCATTAAACAGTACACATAGAAAGGTGAACATTTTCAAAGACAGTAACAACCTGAAGGCTGCAGGCAGGACTAAAGACACACACATAGATCAGAGAAAGATCCTGCCATTCCCCACATGATTTTGAAGTTCTATGCTCACTCTCAAGAGAGACTCTTCATTAATAACTCCAGCCTATATGATTATTCGGACCCTTCAGTACATCCCTGTCTGAAGAGGACCTTAACATTATTAAAGGAAAAAGTTAATGAAAAGTTTTGTGAAGGGTGTAGTAGGTGGCAAACCTACCATATAGGTGGGAAAACAGGTCAGTAGTGGCATGCTTCTCATGGAAAGCATGAAAAGGAAAATGTCAAACCTCCTAAAGCTTCAGCCGTGCACGGCCACAGCCCATAAAACCAATTCCAGCTACATCCCCCAGCACAGTTTTCATAACACTAAAGGGCAGCAAATCAACTGACAAAAACTTGTAAAGTGGACCATAAAAACGTAATTATAATTTCCATTGGAAATGAGGCAGATAGTTAATAAAAAACTGGTTACCTCAAAAGACAGGGAATATCTGCCAGTCGCTGTGTGGGATGGACATTTTTGTGCCAGTGCATTATGCTTCCATTTCTGTCTCAAGTGGTTATAAAAGCCCATCAATTCAAATTGTCTTCTGAGGAATTTAAGATCTCCCTATGAAATGGTCATCACCTTAGTCATATGCTCTTTAACTCTTTCTAACTACTAACCCAGCAGCAGCTACACTGCCAAGACCTGTAGTTTTTCCTAAAGCAAATATTCTGCTAAAGTTTGTAGGATTTTGATTGAGTAATAATCCCAGGATTTGATTTTCAAGTTATGTCTTGGAGAGCGCAATGTGCAAAGCTGACACTGCAAGCATCCAGTTAGAAAAATAGCAAGGCATTACAAAAAAATGAAAATTAACTGCTCTAGTCACTGAGATCAAATGTTCAGAGAAAAGACTTAGAAATGTTTATTTCTCCCAGATTAGATGGAATTCTAAGCAGTGTTTATTGGAGAGAAGAGATGGAGTGTGCTATGTCTTATTCTTGTTTCCTGTATCCGCCTTTCTCTTAAAAGTGCTAAGTAGCAGGGCTGTAGGGATTACAGTGCCGAGGGAATTCTTGCCACTTTCCTTCTCTCTCTCTATTTAAACACGACAACTCTTGGCAGGCCTCAGTCATATTGTTTGTGTAGCCAGGACAAGAGGGTGGAATTCTGGAACATGTTCCAGCCCACATTCCGGATTTTCCTATAAACTAGCCCCTTACTTTAAACACACGCCTCTGTGAATTACCTTTGTGCTGCTATGCCATTTGAAAATCTGTTTCAAACACTCCTTGCAAATTAAAATATGATTATCTTGAGCTCCAATCAAGGTATTTGGTGAATAATCCATGAAAAAGGCAGTGTTTGGTTTTGCAGGAAAAATAACAAAAAATAAAGAGAGGACGGTATGAAAGAGGAAGGATAAATGGCTTAGAATCAGCCAGGGAATATGGTATCCCTCTGAATGAACAATTTTAATAACTGCCTATGTTGATTGCATAACAATTTATACAACTGGACTTTATTGCTTGTCTTGTCAGAGGACTGGCCTACCCTTTCAATGTGCAATTTGCATATCTATCTTTTTTGCACCACCAAGTAACAGGCAAAAAATTTCAACAATCATTTGCCTGACAATTGGATGTGTTAATTTGCAGCTAAAAAAAGTACAAAATGAAGGCCAAACTGAGGCAGTCAAAAATTCAGTTCCTGCTTTCTCTTACTCAGCTGATTGTTGCACAAAGATCAACATTGCTCAATCTGGTGTGTGTACTTTCAGCTCAATAAGTGCTTTCATTCATCATTCACAACTTGCTTCATTATGAAAGTTGAACTATATCTTTAACACAAACCACACTTCCTTTGTCCTAAATGAAAGATCTGCCTGCACACACTGGAGAACAGGCTCCTTGTTGATGCAATGTTATCACATGCACTGGGGCCAATATCTTACATCTCACAGCCCACAGCACAAACTGCCTGTGGAGAACAAACTTCCCATATAGAAGACACTATTCAAGCAGAACATTTTTAATTAAATGATGGAGGGAAAGAAGCTCTCTGTCTCTCTACCAGTGGCACCAGGTTTAACAATCCGTTTGTTACAAAAATGTTCCTGCATCTTCTTTCATTAAGCTGCTGATGCATATTAGGACCTGCACTCCCTGCAAGCAGAGCCCTCCAGGACAGCATCTGCATACCCTATCCGAAACTATTAACTGGCACTGGTGTAACTTCAGCTTCACATTTCCATGCCTAACACCTTCTTGTTAGTTTGTGTTCCTTTACTTCCCTTACAGTCACTGTCCTCTCGACTGTTTTTCCATCCTTAAATACTGTTTGGAAAGGATATTGTGATCTGTGTTCAGACACTCCACAACTCTCTAAGGGAAAATGTCAGAAACAATAACAAAACATGGGAGTTACAAGATACCACTTTCCATGTTAGCTTATAACCATTTCAGGTACTGAAAGACACAAAAATCAGGCTGTCAGACAGGAGGCAGAGCAGGAGAACAGGGAGGGTGTTAGGAAAGAAATAACAAAGCAAAAAAAGACAAGGGAGAACCTACTTACATTTGTCAAGGCAGGCACCTTCTGTGAGTATGAAGGCTGCCGCATAAAGTTAGAATAAGTTCAAGAAAAGCCTGTACTGTCCATATGTAGAGCATGGATTTCATCTCACTGGATTTCACAAGCCACTTCTGACAACTGAGATAAGATATGTCAACACTTTCTGCTTGTAGAGTTTTTCACTCTTTTAGCATATCAAATGCGTTTTGTATCTTAGCAAAATAGCTTCTTCCTGTTCCTCTGCAAGCATTTTTCTGAAGGTTAGCTGGAAGTGGTATTAAACATAGGACTGGAGAAGAGTGAGTGGGGAACCACATTTTCAGGGTCCATTCACCCTGCAGTCAAAGGAGCTGGCTCATGAACCCAAAAATGCAAGAGGCACTGAAGTACCCACTGCTCCCCAAGCTGGTGCTGCTTGGTTACTGTCCATGCAAAGCTCACTCCTGCACAGTGTCACAGCATGAGTGCTAAGTGATAGCCTGAGAAAACAAGTCACACGTGTAGTGCCTTGCTGAATAATACCCCCGTGCCC